TTTTAATTGAATGAAAGCAAATTGAATGAATCGGAAATAGCATCAAATTTTAGAATAAATTTAGATTAGACCTTGCACGAATTATGGCCTTAAACAGCCAATGAAACCAACACACGCTGCCCGAATGTTGCTCTGCGGTATTTTGGCCGAGCGAAGCTCTTGCTTGAGGTGATCGACACTTTGGTATTTTTTAGTGCCAACCCTACTTTCCCAAATACTCCAGACACAAAAGTCCAACGGATTTGTATCCGGAGATTTTCGTGGCCATTGTGCGCTGAAAATGAAGAGAGGAACCTCATTTACTAACCAATTTTGGGTGGCGCGTGCTGAGTGCTGTTGGAATTTCTACCCTCTAGAATATTTTCGCGATAATATTCGGCATTTATTCTAATGCCACGGTTGATTAATACGAGCGAAGAGCGACCACCGGCTGTTATGGCGGCCCAAACCATCACCATGGCCGGCGCTTGAATTCTGGTGGCCAACCGAAGGTGCACATTTTCAGCTGACCTCTTTAGCAAACTGCTGGACAACGAATATTTACTCATCGCAGAAAACTAAATTCGGTCAAGCGAAGAAACTTTTTTGCTCTTTTGAGTCTATTCTCTTTATGTTGCGGTATAAGTTCTTCCACTTTTTGGAATTTCAATGGCTTTACCCCGAGCTCATTTTTCAATATTTGCCGAATGGATTACTGCGATATGTTCAGCTCACGAGCCATTTCGGTCACTGTGATGCGGGTATCGATCAAGTCGCTTCTTTAATTTTCGAACGTGTTTTCTACCATAGTATGGAGGGTATATTAAGTTGTTCATTCCGTTTGTAACATTCATACATTCTAGACCCCACTCAGCATAAAATTCTATGTCGATTTAGCGATGTCCGTCTATCCGTTTGTGGAAGTCACTCTAGCTTCCGAATGAATTGAAGTAGATTGATAAAATTTTGCTCATATGTATATTATGCCTATAGGACTTTTGGTATTGAAAATGGGCCATATAGGTAAACGTTTTGGTATAGCCCCCATATAACGGTACCTCCCGATATTCGGTATTTTGATGGTTTTAGCGACATTATTCACCGGAATTGTTTCAAAATTGGTATTTGAAGTTCGTAATGGATACTACAGCTTATGACAGAAAAGGGGATGTGCAGGTCCACGTCTTCGTATAGCCCCCATATATCAGTACATCCCTATATTCGGTATTTTGACGATTTTAGGTACAATACCAACCGAAATTGTTTGAGATGTGGTATTTGAAGTTCGTAATGGATACTACAGCCTATGACAGAAAATTGTCTATGCTGGTCCAGGTCATCGCACAGCTCCGATATAACGGTACCTCTCTATATACCATATTTTGATGATTTTAGCTACATTATTCACCGTTTTTTTTTTCAAGTTTCGAATTTAAATATGGTAATGGCCTATGACAAACAATGCCTATGTAGGTCCACGTCGCATAGACCCCAATATAACGGCTATATTCGGTATTTTTAAAATTTTAACAGAATTTTTTAAGGAATTTTTTTTTGGAAAATTTCCAAATTTGTTCCAAATGGTGGAGGATATTCAAAGTTCGGCATGGTCGAATTTACTGTATTTCAACTTGTTCTCTTTTTAGCTCTACTTTCATAATATCCTGGAATTTCCCCGAAATTATTAAAAAAAACTTAAATTTGTGGCACAGTGTAATTAGAGTATGAATGCAGTGTCGGATATCTATACAAACCAGTGTAGTTTAGGAGCAATTACATTCCGGTTGATGTTGCTATCGTCTCAATTTGTACTAGGCACGAATTGACGAAGATGTCTGAAACATTTGACCGTCGTGTGAAATAGGCCCGCACAGAACGCTTCACCTCTTTTATTGCCCGACTCACTCCAAAAGACCTCCGGCTACAGCCCATAAATTTTGGAAGCTGGAGCTAGATCCGGTTTAGCAGAATTCAAACAAAACATGCAAAGCTTTTACAATAACAAACACCACCACGAGTCCCCAACCCCGAACCTCCGAAGACTTGACATCAACATCCCAACCACCTCACCATCGTAAACCCTGATTATCTATCACTCGTCAGACCCATGACTATTCACTGAAATACCCGATAGCCTTAAAGTCTGACGGCGGAGCTGACGGCACTCCAAGCATCAACATCGTTATACCTGATAACCCTCAACACGTCGACAATCGACGAACATAAACCAAAGTCGTCAAAATCCCGTCACTTCGGACACCAACATCGTAATTCCTGATTACAATCAACTCGTCGAGAACTGACGACCATAAGTTTCCCGATTTCCTTCAAATCGTCACCATACCGTCACCCGAATACAACATCGAAATTCCTGATCTTCCTCAACTGTTAACATACAACCTTCACCTACGAGCACCCGATCACCTTCGAATCTTCTCATCAACCAGCCGTATACCAATCACCAATCTTCTAACCCACCTCTGATCATAAATACAAAAATCCCAACTTCTAATTTTATAACTCCAAATGCCAAAATCCCTGAAATCAACATACCCACCTGTATGTCACCTGTGCCCACGTGTGAGAAATAAGGACTAACTTGGCCTAAACACCTTTGTTGACACCGTTTGTTTTTTTCTTCTTCTTATTTTTTGTTAACAATTTACGCATTGTTATTGCCTGCCTCTATTATTGGCCCAATCAAGATGGGCGGCAGAAGGTCGATAGGCCAGATGTGCTAAAGAGCCAATAATATGTGTTACCAGTTAAAAAAAGGACAAAACTTCATTAAACGTTATTTTGCCGGAAATTGACAATTTTATTCAATAAAATGAGAGCGAAGAAAAAATAAAAAAAAAATAAATAAATAAATTGCCTATAACATTAATAAATATGGTAATTGGTTGTGGGGGCGATTGTTGGTATTTATACATGCAGCATGACAAGTGGACCAAATGGGCGAAAGGGGGGAGATAAATTTAAGATGAATGAAAATATTTAGGAAAATTTTTCTTGGGCTTTGAGAAAGAAAATTAACAAGGAACTATTTTCGTTTAAAAATGAGGATATTTTGTCGAGGAAATCTGAAGAAAACCCTGTTGGAAATAAAGAAAGTGAGAGAGAGAGAGAGAGAGAGTAGAGTAAAGTAAGTGACTGACAGACTCAACGATTCATCAACGCCCAGACGAAACGACTGAAGCTAGAATCTTGAAATTTTGGGTGAGCATCACTCTTGGTCCGAAGGTGTCAGATAAGGCTGGGTTTTTGGAAATTCGTACCAAAACTGTACGTAAAGTACTAAGAGGTTTTATTGACGATCAAGTAGTGAACTAGATGTCTTGAATTTGGAATGAGAGTCACTGAAGGATAAACCAAAGGGTTCTTGGAAATTCACTCTACAAGTGTACGAAAAGTACTAAAATGTACTATATTTGATACCATATCGTATCATGTGAACTGTTAGAGTTAAAAACTTGAATTTTAAAATGGGAATCAAGTTTGAGCAGTAGAGTCGATGTAAGGATTTGCTTTTGGAAATTTGATAAATATTTGGAATTTCATAAAAATTCTAATTTGAAGGAACGAAGGGAGGTGCCATGCCGTAATTTGAAATTAAAATTACTCACGGATTTTCGGATTGGGATATGGAGAAGTTTTAAATGGTACTAAATTTAGTACAATTTAAATTTGGGTGAACCGATAGAGCAGGAATGCTGAAATTTTGAAATAAGATTACATGTAGAAATAAGGTAGTTTTGGAAATTCGTACTTATGTGTACCAAATGGTACTAAATTTGGTACAATTTGGACAGTAAAATTGGAATATGGAAATTTGGTGCAATTTCGTTTTGAGTGAACAGATAGAACTAGAATCCTGAAAATTAGAATTAAGATTACTGTTGGAGTTCGTACTTATGTGTACTACATGGTACTAAACTTGGTACAATTTGTATTTGGGCGAACGATAGAGGTGGAATCCTGAAAATCAGAATTGGTATAACTATGGTAGTATTTGATTGGGATATGTGCACTAAATGGTACTAAATTTGGTACGATTTGGTATTGGGTGAACATAAAGTTTTGAAACCTGAAAGTTAATATTAGGGTAGCTGTTCATGTGTACACTGGACATATATGGAGGTGGTTTCGGAAATGTGTACTATAATTGTACATATATGGAGGTGGTAGTAGTAAATGGTACTATTTTTGGTATTAAAACTCAGAAATCTAATATTTCGACTACTGGTAGAATCTCTGTTTGAGATTTCACAGTGGCTTGGAAATGCGTCCTATACTTGTACGAAAAGTACTAAATGGTACTAAATTTGGTATTGGGTGAAGGGAAAGGGCTGGAAATTTTAATTCAAATTTAGTTTTGATGTCTCTGTTGGAATCCGTAATTGGGATAAGGAGGTGGTTTCGGGAATGTGTAGCGTAATCGTACGAAAAGTACTGAATGGTACTAAATTTCGGTATTGGATGAATTTAGGGCTAGAATTTTCAAATTTGATATTTAGGTGTCTGTTGGTATCTGGAATTGAGATAAGTAGGTACTTTTTGAAGTGTGTACTATAATTGTACGAAAAGTACTAAATGTGGTATTGGGTAAAGGAATAGAGCTGAAATCCTGAAATCCTTGAGAAGGAGCTGATTTTGGATATGCGTACTATAATTGTATTAAATGGTGCTAAATATGGTAATGGGGATAATTATGGAGATTTCGCTGTCGAAGTAGCCGGCACTTGCTAGTAAATAAATAAATATTTAGGGATGCTCGGACATGACAAAGCCCTGTTATATCAACGAGGTCATGATCAAGGGTTTTAGAGATATTTTTCCTCTGGATTTCTTCGTAATGGAAATTAAAAAATTTATTTAGTTTTATAAGGATTCTACGGATATATTCCTACTTGATTTCGTCGGAATCGATGTGAATAAATTTTATAACATTTTATTTAAATTATCTTCATTACTTTTCTTAACAGAGTTTAATATTGGAATAAATATTAAAAAAACACAACTCAGTGCCACTGACCCAAAACATGGGCCAACAGGAGATAACAAGAAGCTATAATTAAATTACCCAACATAATGAGGAAACCGATTTTAAAATAATCCCAAAATGTTATGGAGTAGCCATGCTTAGAGGCCACACCGGTACAGGCAACATTGACAATGCCAGCGACAAGACATCCATTGGCGCCCAAGCTGCAGCCCAGGGCCAGGGACCACACCAAAGGCATTAGGGGTATATTTACTTTTTCATTCTTGGCTAAGACTGTTATCACAGGCAGCAGCAAGTTAATCAAGGTCGCATTGCTGAGCAACAGACTTAGGCTGGCAGAGATTCCAATTATGGCCAAAATTCCAAGGGTTAGGCGATATTCGGTCTCCACATTTGCCAAAGAGTTTTCCAACATTGCACCAATTGCTTCAGAGAATCCCAATTTCTCAAGCATTTGGCTGAGAATAAATAGCGCCGAAATGAAAAGCATTGTGGCCCAGTCAATGCGTCCCAGAACCCCCTCCAGATCTTCATAATTGCATAGACTGAGACACAGCAAGGCTCCCAGTACCGATATCCATCCCAGGGATATTTGAATGGATTGGAAACCCTGATCCAGGATGACAAATAAAAAACGCACCAAAATGGCCAGCAGACAGGCGATGAGCAGGGGTATTTTCTTTAGATGGAAATTCTGGCGTAACTTCAAAACCTTCTCCTCAAATCCTGAGGGTGGATCGGGCATTTTTCCCAGGCGTTTGAGACGTTTCCGGAGACTCCTTATGCGTGTATCCACGGTGTCTTTGGCCGAGCGTTCATCCAGGGAATAGGCACCCATGCGATCGGAAACTTTGCGCCACACCCTAGTCAGGCGCCTTAGTCTCTCCACCTGTAGGGGTTCCTTGGTACCAATTTGGGCCGAATTGTGGAACAACAGACGAAGATGGATGTAGGATTGCAGTAAGTTCAAGAGAGAGGCTGGCAGAAGGTGAATGAGAAATGAGCCATAGGAGAGGTTCTCCTGCTTCAAACTCTCATGTTGGAAAATCAGATAATTGGAAAGGGAGCTGCTTGGTGTCAGGGAGCAACCCAGATTAATGGCAATTATAAGGCATGCCAGAATTGGGGCACAATTCAAATGCATTATTTCACAAAGTCTCAGGCCGATGGGTGTCAGGAACAATATCAGGGTAATGTCATCGAAAATTAGGGCCAAGAGAACACTGGAGGGGAACAAAACATTGAGCAAAGGCCAAATGTGGCCATTGGCCATTTCATAACTCCAGGCTGCCAAATAGTCTTGTAAACCGGTTTCAGCCAGGATTTCCATTATCAGGGATATGCCAAAAAAGTTCATGATAATATCGAATTCCATGCCATGGAACACCTCCTCCAGGGAAGGCCTCACGTGGATGGCAGCCACCAGGCCAATAATCAGGGAACTGCAAAGTATGGCAGCAAAGGTGCGATGCAAAAGATCGGAGGCCATGAGCAAATAAATTGTAATTAGGAGCGCCAGACCCCAGATAATTATCCAGGTTTGGCCAGACTCCACAGGGGTCACAAATAGTTCCAGGGAAATATCTTCCATGGATTTGCTGCGGAACAATAGTTGGAATTTCCTCGAAGTTTCTGGGAAAATAATTTGTTCCATGACTTTTTCCACCAGGCTCAAACTTGTAGAATTTTCGTTAATAAACAAATGTTTTACTAGGGAAATATTTTTGGTCTTCAGTAAATCCTTTGAGCTGCCTTGTAAAACATAACTTAGGAAGGACTTCTTTGCTTCCTGGCTAGCTACAACTTTCATATCTTGAAAACTTTCCCTTGAAAAAAGTCCTCTCAATTTCATTGCCAAACCCACACCCTGCAAATCTAATGGCAACTCATATATTATTGCCATTTGGGGTGGAAAACTTAGCAACACCATTTCCTCTTCCCGTTCCGGATACCTCATCAGGTGATAGGTAAAGGTAAGCCAACAAATCATCAGCAATCCCTGAGTCAGATAACGTAGGAATTTCCTTAGATTCCTTTGTAATGCCGAAATTGGTTTCAAACGATAGGGTTCCTCCTCGGGTTCTTCATTCAATGAGAGATGCTCTTCGGAATACACAGCCAATTCGGCACCACCTCCAATGCGCATTTCATGGCGACTGTTGTTGTTTTGGAAAATATCTTTTTCGTCATCGTCGTTTTCTTTTTCTGCTTCAAATGGTTGGCCATCAGGTAAGTGGTAAACAATTTGTCGAATCACAATTTCTTCATTGTCCTGCAGACTTGTAGATGAGGAGTTCGCGAGAGGCATTGTTCCGACTTGGTAGGGATTTCTTTTCTTCAAATTATTGTTTGATGTTCAGATTAATTTGATTTGAATTTGACATTTTTGCAATGCGAAAAGAAAATATTGGAGGAATAATTTCCATATTCAACACTGAAATTCTGACATTTTGAAATAGCACACAATGGGGTCTGAATAATGGGATTTCAAAGATTATTTCAGAATTTGCATAAATAAACAAAATTTTTCTGCTATACCAGATATTTCCTTTATGATATCGAAAATTTTCAGAATTTCATGTCCATTCCTTTTTTCAATAACAAACTATGTAAGCATATCCAAAATAATCGACAAATCTCCATCCTAGTACATTTCGAATAATTTCAGGGTGAGATGATAAAACTGCAACCAACTTCAGACTGCTGTCATTTCTAAGTCACTCGTCCGCCAGCTGTTAAAATTATTCCAGTGACAGCTCATTATATCGCTTACAAGCGTACAAAAGCATTTTGCTCAGAATTTTCCAGAAAAAAAAGTTACTCGTGATGGAGGAATTCAAGCGTGATAATGTGTTTTTTTATATTCGGCTGGAAAAAAACTACAAGTGGCTATCGTTAGTGCACTCCAACATTTTAATGTGAATAAATCGCTCGTTACCATGATACTGGAAGCCTAGCCCGACGTCAAGGAAGTTGGCGGAACAAAACAGCAACATCAGCAGAAATGGTTCAAAAAGTAAAGAAGCGTCTTGATCGAAACCCGCGTCGCAGTGGCCGAAAAATGGCTCGTCAGCTGGACATATCGCAATACTCCATTCCAAATATTGAAAAATTAGCTCGGGGTAGAGCCAATGAAATTCCAAAAAGCGCAAGAACTTACACCGCAACAGAAAGAAATTAGACTCAAAAGTGCTAAGGAGTGCTCCGCTTGGCCAAAAGTTGTGAACTGCCGAATTTGGTTTTCTCCGTCTCCGATGAGAAAACATTCGTAGTCCAGCAGTTTGTAAACAAACAAAATGACCCGCTCGTGTTTGCTTGCCAAAGAGGTCAGCTGAAAATGTGCACCTACGGTTGGTCACCAGAACTTAAGCGCCGGCCATGGTGATTGTGTGGGTCGCCATAACAGCCGATGGTCGCTCTCTGTTCGTATTCATCGACCGTGGCATCAAAATAAATGCAGAATATTATTGCGAAAATATTCTGAAGGGTGTATTATAACCTTGGGCACGCAAAACTTTTGGGTCGCACACCTTGGACATTCCAACAGGAACATCACCACAATCGCACTCAGCGCGCGCCACCTAAGAATGGTTACGAAATGAGGTTCCTCGCTTCATGGCCACCAAAATCTCCGAATACCAATCCGTTGGACTATTATGTCTGGAGTATTTTGAAAAGCAAGTTTGGCACTAAAAAATACCAAAGTGTCGATCACCATTCACCAAATTCAATTATTGAAATATATTCGCCTTTTCCCCTGAAGATAATACAAATCTCCCATGGAGTATTTATGTTTGCTGTGAACCGATCGATAATCATTAATCGCGATAACGATTTTCATTATCACTTCAATGGGTTGATTCAAATCTGTTAACAAAATTGTTAAATGGAATCTCTGTGTGGCTGTATTTCATTAGCACACAAATCTAATTGTATAGTAGGGTGTAATGACAAAAATACGAAAAATAATTAAAAAAAAAAATAAATTCGAAAAATGCGTATACGGCATAATTTGGAACAACTATAGCATACTGAGTACAAAGACTGGATTGCCCAAATGTTTTTTTTTTTCACCTCAGCTTATGGTCTCAAGGCCCAAAATTATTATTATTATTATTATTATTATTATTATTATTATTATTATTATTATTATTATTATTATTATTATTATTATTATTATTATTATTATTATTATTATTATTATTATTATTATTATTATTATTATTATTATTATTATTATTATTATTATTATTATTATTATTATTATTATTATTATTATTATTATTATTATTATTATTATTTTATTATTATTTATTTATTTTTATCTCATGCTACTTTCAAATACTAATGGACATTTAATTATTCAAAATAAACCAAAATGCCAATAAATTCATTCCAAAAAAAAAAAATAATAAACGGAAAAAATACCATTACTTATTTTATTTTATGTATAATTTATAATAGGGAAAATCAATAGGTGGCCTCTGGTAAATTTTCATAAAAAACAATGATCCAAAAAAAATAAAAAAAAAACAAGTAAAAAAGCTGTAAGTTCGGCCGGGCCGAACTTTTAATACCCTCCACCATTTGGTACAAATTTGGCAATTTCCAAAAAATAAAACCCGTTAAAAATTCTGTTAAAATCTTAAAAATACCAAATGCTTATACGACGACATAGGCCTGCATAGGCAACTTTTGTCATAAATTATTACAATATTTAAATGCGAAACTTGAAGAAAAATATGTTTATACTGTAGCTAAAATCGTCAAAATACCGAATATGGGGGGTACCGTTATATGGGGGCTATACGAAGACGTGGACCTGCACAGACAATTTTCTGGCATGGGCTGAAGTGTCCATTACGAACTTCACATACGAAATTTGAAACAATCCCTGTAAATAACGTCGCTAAAATCATTAAAATACCGAATATCGGGGGGTACCGTTATACGGGGACTATACGAAGACCTGAACCTACACGGACAATTTTCTGTCATAGGCTGTAGAATCTATTACGAACTTCAAATACCAAATTTGAAACAATTCCGGTGAATAATGACCCCAAAATCATAAAAATACCAAATATCGGGAGGTATCATTATATGGGGGCTATACGAAGACCTGAACCTGCACGGACAATTTTCTGTCTTAGGCTGTAGCATCCATTACAAACTTCAAATGTCAAATTTGAAATAATTCCGGTGAATAATGTCGCTAAAATCATCAAAATACCGAATATCGGGAGGTACCGTTATATGGGGGCTATATGATAACTTGGACCTACATGGCCCATTTACGAACTTAACCTGCCTACTGGGAAAAAATACATGTGTGCAAAATTTTAGCCTTCTATCTCAATTTGTTCGAAAGATAGCGTGATTACAACAGACAGACAGACAGACAGACGGACAGACAGACACAGACACAGACAGACAGACGGACATGGCTAAATCGTCTTAGAATTTTACGCTGATCAAGAATATATATACTTTGTTGGGTCTGACATGAATATTTCGAGGAGTTACAAACGGAACGACAAAATTAATATACCCTCCATAGTATGGTGGAGGGTATAAAAAATTATAGAATATAAGCAAAGAATATGATTTTTTTTTTCTCCTCCATTTGTTATTCTTGGCATAAATATGATTGTTGGTGAAAGTAAGAAATTTTCATTTCGTTTTCATTTTTTGAAACAAATTCACTTTTCATCTTCATAGCCATCAGATGTATACCCTGCTTGGCGTGTGTGTCAGTCCGTGCGTGCCCGTGTATAAGTTAGCATTTTTCGAAATTAGCATCAGTTGAAATAACAAAAACAAGCAGAAAATGAAAACAAATTATCATCATCAGCCTTGCCAGCATCATTATCTTCCTCCTCATCATCATCATCATCGTCATTCGCACAGAGATTCCAACATAAATATACACTCGCCGTCTAAACATATTCAAATTAATTCATTTTTGATTTTATGCCGCTTTTATTTATTCATGTTGCGGGAGCAATTTTTTTTAAATTATTTTATTGAATTTGTTTATTTGGGAAAATGTTAAAATGTTGTTTTTTATCCCACCTCCCCCTTTTCTTTGATGTGATCAATCATGTGGTAATAATAAAAATGCTGGGATACCACATTAATGAGTTAATTGTTGAGAAATTATTCCCAAATTAAAAAAGTAATTGCTGACGTACTCGCCATTTCATTTGGGCTGATATTAATTTTATTTATGGGAGCCATATCCAAATCTGAACCGATCTTGATAAAAATTAGCAGAGGTTTTTCTGAGCTGTATTTGATATCTTTTCCCGAATAACGTTGTTTTGGAGTTCATATTATGGCTGTGGGGGACTAAAATAATAAATCGGATGAATATTACATATAGGAGCTACAGCTATATATAAACCGATTTTCACCAAATTTGGAGAACTTGCTTCCAAGCTCAAGTTGGCTTCATGTTCCTAATTACATCCTATATGGACTAATATTACACATTTGGATGCTATATAAAAATTTGATCCGATTTTCTACAATTTCAATAGGAATTGTCCTTGGATCAAACAAATGAGCTAAATCGGATTATAAATGTGATCTACATTGTGTTTCCAAAAATACATGGACAAATAGACTCATAATGGAATTCTTGCAAAGAGAACTATGGATCTATCACACATAGGACACAAGGTCATAATACCTTTACCACAGTATGGTGTAGTATATAAAAATTAGGCTACTTTTACGGGCTGCAACCAGAGGTCTTGACAGGGGCAATTGAGACGACTGCAACATTCTGAAAGTAATTGCCCCAAAGCTACCCTGACCGACGTTTCTCAGCTGCAATGGATGGGGTGGACTCTGAGGATGGCATTCCTACTCTTATTATTGATGGCATCTGTGACTGCATCAGTAGGAATACCACTACCACTGATAGGCTTGTTGAGCCAAAGGCTCTCTCTCCTATAGCTGACACGCCTTTATCCACCCCACCATATGATGGCTGGGATGAATCCCACGACAACACCCAAGAATTTATGCTGACGTACGGGAAGGATCTTCGCCACCTCTTATAGATGGTTCACTCTTGTCATGAGGAGGCAACCTGTCGCAGTACTCAGGGTAGCATTCTGGTAGGTCTGTATGTTCTTCCACTGCATAGCATTTATATTTGCAGATCCACAACCCAGGCTCTGCCAGCACGAGCCTTAAGGATATTGTTCCTACTTTTCATTTTGTCGCATATAGCTGTGGTTTGCGCAGACGACTTGAAGACGCTGTCGAATGTGACCCCTAGGATCCTGTGACAATTCG